GGAGCGCGCGCCGGGCCTCCGCCCTCCCCTCTGCGCATGCGCGGCGGCGGCGGCGGCGGGGTGGTGGTGGAGGGGTAAGCTTCTTTGCTGCGGCTGCGCAGTCGAGCCTACGGAAGGGAAGCGTGCGCGCATGCGTGGGGCGCCTTTTCCCCTCCTTGGGACCTCCGTTCCTCGTCCGGCACTCTTGTCCTCCGAAGAGACGCCTCTGTCCGGAAGGGCTCCTGCCGAGGCACTTCCGGCGAAGGGAGGGGCCTCTTCCTGCCTTCTCCCGCTTCCGTCGTTGTTCCCAGGTGCCTCCGCCTCCAGAGAGCGCTGGCATGGAGGTGATTAGGAACATATGTACGTCCTGCGCGGGCGGCCTTTAGGGTTGGGAGGAAGTACTTCCCGGAATGACCTTATGACACCGGCCCCAAAGTCCCTTCGCTTCCTGCCAGTTGGTTTCCAGGCAAAGTACATACAAGGTCTTGGTTATGGCCTTTAAAGCCCTGCGTGGCTTGGGACCAGGATACTTGAGGAAGGGAGCGCCTTCTTCCCTATTGCACACGAAGGTCTTCGGGAAGAACCTGCTGCAGCCCAAAAAGTCTAGGCCAGGGGCAGGCAACCTTTGTTCCCCTTTAAGGGCCCAGGAGGGACTTCAGCTCCCAGAAGCCTCAGCCATGTTGGCCTCTAATAGCTCCTGGGATTCTGGGAGCTGAAGTCCCTCCTTGGCCCTTAAAGGGGGAAAAAGGTTGCCTACCCCTGATCTAGGCCAACTTTGGTCACCCAGAGGGCCTTCTCCAAAGCTGTGGAATGACTCCTCTGCCGGACGAGGAGATCCGTCGCGTCTCTTCTCTTACAGCCTTTACAAAGGCTCTTAAGAGGGATCTCTTCCGGCAGTCCTTCCCAGCTGAACGCCTCTCTCTGCGCAAGGCGGTCTACGTCACTATCTCCCCCTTTTCTTCTTTGTTAAAAATATTGGGGTTTGGGAAGGGACTAATTTTGAGTTTTATTGTATTTCATGCACTTTTATTGCTGTAACCCATCCATACTCCTTGTGATTGGGTGGGCTATAAATAAATAAATAATTATTAATCTCTTTTTTGGTCTGTGGTTGAATGTCAAGGCCTCAGGGTGGGAGGATCTGCCAGGAGGATATGTATGTCTGTTTAATTGGCAATCCACCCCAACCCTGGGCGGTTTTCATTTGCACATGCTGGGTCTTGATTTTGGTATTTTTCGGGACTGGCAACCAGACCTTGTTTACTTTCAGGGTTTCTTCTTTCTTGAAGTTGTCCAGGTGTTTGTGGATTTCAATGGCTTCCTCATGCATTCTGACCTGACATTTGTTGGCATGGTCCAGAATTTCAGTGTTTTAATGCCTAGGATGGTGTCAGAAATGTGCATCTGATTGATGCTTTCCCGCCAGAAATTGTTTAAGTTGGTGTTGGGATGTATAGTGATGGGAGTTTTAAAATGAGTTTTTTTTCTGAAAGAATTAATGTGTTTCTGAAAGTGCTTGCTGCTGTTAGAAGTTAGAAGGGAAGCTTGAAATGCATGGGATGGTTGCACCTGGAGACTTGGAAGAGAGTGGGGAGGCTGGACTTAGAGACATGGTTAAATGTTAATGAGGGGATGTATGCATGTTTTATTTAATTTCATTTGTCTTATAGGACAAGGTTGGTTTATTGTATATATGGATATGAACGTATACGGTCTAAGTTTATAAGTGTATAGGATATATATAGTTGATAAATGGGCGTGAAAAGGATTGTGTTTGGTATACTGAGGTTGTTATGACTACAGGTGATGGGAAGGTAATATATTCACACAGCTTATGCCAAGTGGAGTCTCCTTCCCTGGAGGTCTTTAAGCAGAGGCTGGATGGCCATCTGTCAGGGATGCTTTGATTGGGAGTTCCTGCATGGCAGAAGAGGGTTGGACTGGATGGCCCTTGTGGTCTCTTCCAACTCTATGATTCTAAGTGCCGGACTCCCCGGATGCTAGCGCTTTACATCATGGGAGTGGATAAAGCGCGGGAAGCTTGGGGCTAAAGTAGCCAATCATACTGATACACTTTCCCTTGAAGGGGAGGGATTTTACTATTGACTATAAAGTTGTCTGGATGCGTTGTCTTTTTAGACATAGCAAAAAAGTTGCGTATCTGTTTGTGAAAGATTTCTCTTCTGAAATAAAAGCTGTCCTTTTGATTTAGAGTCTAGGATCTGTTATTTTTGGCCTGAGAGAAGACCTGAGGCAGTCTGTACATGACAGATGGTTCTGCTACTCCTGATTTTTCTGCCTGACCCAGTCTGCAGTGTCTCTTGTGTTCCTTGATTCATGTTTGAACAGTGCGTTTGGTAGTCCCTATGTAGACTTGTCCATACCTGCATGGTATGCAGTAAACTCCTGTGGCCGCGGTTGTGTTTTCTCACCAGTTTTCCCTATTCTGTCTGTGACTCTTTTGATGTATGGTAAAAATACCTTCCCTTTGGGTGGTTGCTTTTCTCCATTCCCGTGG